AATATCAAAATACAGTCACGTGCAAAATTTTAGTAAAATCTTAAAACTGAGGTAATTATTAACAAAAAACCTAAAATTTAAGCAGATTTTAAAGCACCGTTATCTGGAAAACTAGAGCTTATCTGGAAAAGCGGAGGATGCCATTGAATTTAAAAGATCCCAGTTAAGTAAGATCAGTTATCAAAACCTTTGCCCAGAAAAAAATTCAAAACTTGAGCGCAGTGTTTTAAACGACGAAAAGTTCACTTTCAGAACTCTAAAACTTCCCCCCTAAATATCTCAAAATTTTGACGTGATACGGGTTTTCTAAAAACGCCATCGTAGGCTAGAGGCCAGAATTAAGTTTACGTGTTTGGCCGTTTAGCTGTGATATTTCAAAACCTTAAAATTTACCTACAGTGTTATTAGAGCCAACAATGTTGTTGTTGTTGTTTTAGCGGCTTACTTATAGTGAAAGTACATAACGTCCATTGCGTTACCGTCACCGTGACCGACAGTTTTCAAAAAAGCTGGTTCGGTGTATTTGTATGAAGTAAGTTACATGAACAAGCTGACGATGACGGTGCCGCACAAATTAGCTCAACTTTCAATTTTGCTTGGAGGAAAATCTAATAGAAGAAGTGATTANAGCCAACAATGTTGTTGTTGTTGTTTTAGCGGCTTACTTATAGTGAAAGTACATAACGTCCATTGCGTTACCGTCACCGTGACCGACAGTTTTCAAAAAAGCTGGTTCGGTGTATTTGTATGAAGTAAGTTACATGAACAAGCTGACGATGACGGTGCCGCACAAATTAGCTCAACTTTCAATTTTGCTTGGACACTGCCTTAATAGAAGAAGTGATTACATGTTTGAACGTAAATTTTTTCAGTTTGTGGAAATTTTAAGATTTATGGAAAAACGAAATTAAAAAAAAATATGGAGGAAAACCTAATAGAATAAGTGCATAAGTGAAACGCAAATTTCGCAAAGATTAGCAGCGAGTCTCTGATTTTTCGGACGCTACGTCAAACGGATAGTGTGTAACTTGACGCATAAGCATCGTTGACGGTGGTGGTGCCGGTGACGGTGACGTTGTCGCAATGGATGGTATGTACTTTCACTTTTAGCCCAGCCTAGATCTCCCTGAATCGTTGTCGTCATGCTCAACTAACGGGAGACTCTGGAAGTGTGCAACTCCAACTGGGTTGGACTAGAGGGATAGGGGTGTTAACAGAGTGCGGTTTGGAGGGCGAAGCGGTGCGAGTTGTCAGGTGACTCCGCTCAGGTAGGAGTTTAACCTGATGTAGTAGGAAGAACGAGGTTTGGCTATGTGGTGCGAGTCTCCCGAGGCAGACGGAGTTCTGTCCACATCAGGTGGCATTCGCAGGTGGGGAGTTGGCGTAAAGAGCGATATACACCACACAAGCGGCTTGTCAAACATACTTCAAACCTACTTTTCTCATTGCACGATACACCATGCAAACATGACTTGTTGAACTAAAGAATTTTAGTTTTCTTCCGGTTCACAATAGGGCTGTTCAGGATGTGGAAATGGTCATGGATTTTTAGTTTGAATTGCATTTGCAAATTCTATGCTTGCCGCAATGGCAACCGTGTGCAATTTATTGTTGTGAATTTACAATGCAAATGCAAGAGTATATGCACAAGATCCTGAATAGTCCTAATGTTAAAAATTATTGTTTTCTTCCATTTGCCTCTCTTAGGTCCTCACTCGGTGAAAATTCCACTGCAAATAAAGCCAATTTATCATTCAAAACGCATACACAACCCAAATAGCTTGAAGAAAACGGATATTTCACTTGGTTTGTCAAGCCGCTTGACTCTCTGTGAATGCCGTTCATAGCCTGTCGGTACGGACCATGATGCAATAATACAAGGTGGTATCAGTTGTGACAGCTCGATTGGACACTGCCTTAGCTCAGTAGAATAAGAAGAAAAAGGGGAAGAAATGAATCCCCATTTGGGGGAAAAATATAAAATTTCATATTTTCCTCTAAACAAAATTTGCTTTTTTATAGTAGATTCGTAATGAAATGAAATAAAATAAGATATAATACCTTTTTGAGAAAACAAAATGTGTATACTGAGAAAAAATAAAAAAAATCAACTATATTATTAGGCAAAGAATTGTTAAAGAAGTAACACTGTTTCACCTAAGGCAGTCAATATGGCGGAATTAGAGCGAGAAGTTGCCAACCGATAATACCTTGTATTATTGGCTGCATTTCTTTATACATTCCGGATAATCCCATTTCACAGCCGGAATAAACAGAATGCGTTTGAAATATACGTCAACATATCATCAGGAACGTTCTAAAGAATAAATAAACAAAAAAGTTTATTCCAAACGTTCAGAATGAATAAAGAAATGCAGCCATTGGATAACCTGGCAGTTGTCTCGCTCCCGCATTCTGCCTTAGCCTGTGTTGCCTACTTTTTTGATTTATAGAAACTACTACTAAAATACAAGGAGAAATATTTTCTTCGTATAAAAAGTTCAACAAGCAACACTGCTAATATTTTAATCGATTGTTTCGTAGAAATTCATTTTCTTATTGGGCAAATTCAAGTATGGCAAAAAATCAAAAATATTGGAAATATTTTGAATTACAACAGTAATTTACATATTTATTTGCAGGGTATCGGAGTTATTCATAATTTGTGTTCAAAAAGTTGCGTTTTACAACAAGTGCCGGCTGCACTAAGTAAGTAAGTTTTGCATGCTAGGATCCCTGTGTGTCCGTCCATGTATGGCTGGTGCAGAAGGCACAAATATTAATAAATATATTATCTTGTGAAGGTCAGGATCATTTGGGTGTCCGTCCACGTTTGCTGGTGAATGTATTTTTACCACTGCAGCCTTTGGGTTGGTCAAGTGCAGCATTTGCATATTTACAAGTAAGTATAGCACTCCATAAAAGCGAAAGTGGAAATATTAATAAAGATATTTTCTTGTGCTGATTGTGACTGATTGCAGAAAAAAGTACACGGCATTACAAAAAACTACCATTTTTAAAAAACGAAATGTAATTAAATTGCGATATTGAAGACATATTATTAAAGTTTAACCGATATAATGATTAACAAGACCGATTGGAGAAAAAAGTAAAATACATTCCATCAAAATTAGATTTTTAAATAACCAAATGTACCTAAATTGAGATATTGAAGATATAACTTTTAAATGTAACCAATATAATGACTAGCAAGACTGATTGGAGAAAAAAGTGGAAAACATTACTAAAAAATTTAAATAAAAAAAAACCAAATGTAACTCAATTTAAGATATTTCAATGAAACCATGGTTTATTTTGAATATTTGGGAATACTTCTTCAAAGATTTCAAAGATTTTTCTTTGGCAAGAATTTTATGTGAATATCCATTTATTTCATTTTTAATATTTATCTGGCCATAAAAAGTTAATTCATTATCTATTGTTTAGATCAGTGGAATCTTCTTTATATATTTAATTCAATTTGTATACAAAAACGCATTTCAGCACTACCAGACTACTTACTTTTCCTACTACCTTTTCACAAAAGGAGACAAAATTGTTACCCGCTTCTCTATCCTTCTCAAATTCAACCTTACTAGGCAGTCGATTGATACAAATGTCAATATTTATCCAACCTTGTATTATTGGATCATGCACAAGAATGATAGAATACAAGATTGCGCAGTCCTGGGCGTTGACATTTGTGTACCACAAGTAAACAAAGAATAGAGCGAAAAGAAGAACGAGTTGAAACTGCCAAAGCAGTTCACTTTATAGCGAAAAACGTGTTTTAATTTTGCTAAATGCGAAAATATTGCATTTTTCACCTAATCTATTAGAGAACAGTGAACATTTTAGTGCACTCCATTGCTTTGCAATTGAGGCTGCTTCAGCAAACGTTTTAGTACACTCCATTGCTTTGCAATTAAGGCTGCTGCAGAAAACTGCAGCAGCATCTCTGCGGGATTGATTAGTTAACTTGCTAATGGAGGCTGCGTGGAGCAGAAACAAAATCATTGTGAGGAATTTCTGTTAATATAATAATAGAGAAACATTTCGGGAACGGCTTTGCCGTGCCCTATGTACACAAAATGCAGCGATTCATCCCAGCGCTACACTTGCATCTACGCTTCTTGCATCTTGACGGCTGTCGCAATTTAACACACATCACTTCATTATATTAGTTTTTACGCAGTCTTCAACTCAAAAATCACTCACAAATTGCAAATTAACACAATTTAAACTGATTTTTCACTTATAATTCATATTTCTCTTTCGCTGATTTGTAAACAAAGGTTTATTTACAAGTTACCACAACTGTCAAAATCGGCAAAACCAAAGTAGCGGTACCACTGACGGCGCCACCTTTGTTCGCTGCACCGTGGGATCATGGGTACGGGCGCCTTCTGACCAATGTGACTAGGTTAGCCTCTTTGAGGCTAGATTTAGCATTTAATTTTATGCCATTGCCTCAAAAATTAAGATCTGACTTCGTGGCTTTTTTTTGCCTTTTTTACAATATTCACAATAAAATTCGGACTGAAACTATAAAAATAAAGCTTAATAAGTGCAAAGTACCATTTCTTAGAGAAAATACTTTTTTAAATATTTAAAAAATAATACTAAGAAATTTTCTTTGAACCGCGTTTTTAAAATGTGCTTTGTTGGCGTACTACTTATGTGACAATATTAAAAATTTTAAATTTTTATTATCCTAAACTGCTCACTTTCAAAGCTACGGGGCCCTTATAGTATGCAAACGTTTGGCAGGGAAGACTTGGGGCTGTAGTCCCAAGATCCTGTGATGGATGTATACCACCCATGCCACGCACAGTGGTCCAATCTGCTCTATTAGGGTAATTTAATTATTATATTAAGAACCTAGATAGATATCGGGATGAAATTTTGCACAAATTATGTCTGAGTGACTAACAACTTCTGCTCATAAAATGGGCAAGATTGAATAGCGACCACGCCTACTAGCATATAATTAAAAAATCTTTAAATTTTTCGTCAATTTCTGGTACATTTTTTAAGCACTTGCGTACGGTTATAGATACCTGCATACCTAAAACATTTTTTACTATTTGGGATGAATTAAAAATAGAAAGTCCGTTATGTATATACTGTATTAACGCCGAATCCGAATCAGCCACCTAATATATGTGTTGACAGGCGAGTGAAAAATATAAGACCAGCACTTATTTTGAGCGTCCTTTATTTAATTGTTATGCACGCTAAAATCTGCGAATATACAAAGCAATGTACATACGTACATACAAGTACATAGATATATGCATGTGGAATTACAAAAACAATTCTATTAACTCACTTAACTACTTACATTTGTGCTTGCTCCTGCAAATTAATGTTTTCTCGCCGCCAGCAAAAGGGAAAAGAACTTTACAGAAATAAATGCAATTGGATACAGCGTATTACACGCGAGCCTCTGTTGGCGAGAATTTGCATTACTTTGCAGGCGCAGGGCTGCAAATTTTAGTACATTTCTTTAATCAAACTTGAGCGCGTTAATTACAATGTTCAATTAATTAGGCGCGTTAACACCCCTCCTCGCAAACTTCTTGCACCGCAACGTGGTTTGCCAGATCGATATCAAGTTTGGCTAGCTTCGTAACTGGCCTCGTCATAAGGCCACCTTCGGTTCTCACAACAGCGCTTCGGACCTGGCCATCTCGACCTCGTATTACGTCAAAACCTCGTCCTTTTGTCCAGGTATTTCGCCGCGTATTTTCGTCGATGATGATGACTACGTCCCCTGTCCTAATGTTTGGCTGAGGCTCAAACCACTTAGAACGTCTGGTCAAGCACGGAAGGCATTCTCTTACCCACCTTTTCCAGAATTCGTCGGCTATTTGTCCAGCAATGCGAAAGTTTCTGCTCAACACAGCCGATGTGCAATCCCTATCAACACGTTCTCGAACGCCACTGGACGAACCAAGGAGGAAATGGTTTGGGGTCAACGCTTCGCTTGCCGATGTTTCAATAGGAATATAGGTGAGGGGACGTATGTTGACAGTGGACTCAGCCTCTGCCATCGCCGCGCGTAGGATCTCTTCGCGTACACACCTTCGTGGTAATATATTCATTAAAACCGATTTTATGGAACGTACCATGCGCTCCCATGCACCACCCATGTGCGGCGCAGCTGGCGGTATAAATACCCACTCTATATTTGGATATTTTTGCTCGACCTCAGTGACAGCGATCTTTTCAATTTCGTCTGCTAAAACGCGGCTGGCACCACGAAAGTTTGTTCCGTTATCCGACAAAATGCGCCACGGTACACCTCGTCGGCTCATGAACTGCTTTAGGACTAGCAGAAATGAGTCTGTGGAGAGAGACGGTGATATCTCTATATGCACGGCACGTACGGTCATACAGGTGAACAAGACACCCCAGCGTTTTTCGTGTCGTTTGCCCACAACAATATCAAACGGCCCGAAATAGTCAACGCCCACGTAAGCGAATGGACGTGTAAATGAGGCCACACGCTCTAAAGGAAGTGGTCCCATTTCAGGAATATTGGGCGCAGCTCGACGAATTTTGCATTGCTGGCACATCTTGGCCACTGACCTTACAAGCGTTCTCAACCCTGGAATACAGAAACGCTGCCTTAGTTCGTTCACTGAGATTTCGCTGAATTGATGGCGCAATTTTCGATGGTAAAAATCTACCAGAAGAAATGTAACACGGTGATTTCGAGGTAGTATAATCGGCCGCTTAACGTCCATTGGCACTCCTTCCACTGCGTCAATTCCTCCTTTAACGCGCAGCAACCCGTTGCCATCTATATAAGGCGAGAGCTTAAAAATTGAACTTTTGCGATTTACCTTAGCAACGCTTGATCTTAACTGAAGAAACTCGTTTGCGAAGGATTCCTCCTGATATTCGCGGAAAATTAATTTCTCCGAGCTTTCGCATGTTTTGTCATCCAAGAAAGTTTTCATTGTAAGATTTCTTGCGTCCAGCTTCATAATTTTGCGTAGAAAGCTAAATACGCGCATTTGAGCGCCTCGCAGCCTTTCCCACTTACTGAAACGTGTCGGGTCTGGTGAGCATCGATTAGTATACTCCGCTCCTTCGGAGATGTGGTGAACAAACTCAGTCCCCTCCTCGTGAGATTGGCTGAACTCTGAAACAGGCCAGCAACTTTCGGGCGAACGAGGAAATTCCGGCCCAGAAAACCATCTCATGTCACTGCTGAACTGCATGTTGTCATCCCACTTCGTACCATCGTCAGCAACGTTGAGCTTTGTAGGGACCCATCGCCATTCATCCACCTGCGAGTCTTGAAGGATTTCACCGATACGTACAGCAACGAACTGGTTAAATTTTCTAGTATCGGAGCGTATCCAATACAGAACATCCTTGGAGTCGGACCAGAATATGCGCCGACAAACAGAAATCGATAGTTCGCCCTTGATGAAGATGGCTAAGCGCAACCCCAAGATGGCCGCCATTAATTCCAGCCTCGGTACGGATATGGGTTTTAGAGGTGCTACGCGTGTTTTGGAGGCCACTAGGCTACAGTGAAACTCGCCATTAAATTCTGATCGCAGAAATGCCACAGCTGAATAGGCCGCTATGCTTGCATCTACAAATACGTGAAGCTCAACGCGGTTACTGCAGCTCGCAAACCGATAACATCGGGGCACTCGTAAACTACTCAGCAGCTGAAGTTTTTGCACCCACTTCCACCACTCGGCACGTTCGGCAACATGTATTGGTTCGTCCGAAAGCACGCCGGACCGCCAAATGTCCTGCAATATCATTCTAGCTTTGATGACAAAAAATCCCACTAAGCACAGTGGGTCAAATATCTTCATAACGGCTCGCAAAATTTGGCGCTTTGTCGGATGGCTTGTTTCTTCGAAGGAAGCGTCGAATTTCTGAACGAATAACAACTCGTCTGTGCATGGGCGCCACCACATGCCAAGGACCTTTTCAATCGCGTCATTAGCCTCCTCAAAACTCTTATCGGCTATCTCAGTTTTACCGGACAGGGAAAGTAGAACTCGCTTCGAATTCGATAACCAGTTTCGCATTTCGAAGCCCCCTTCGTTGTGAATATGCCGCACGGTGGTTGCAAGTTGAAGCATTTCGTCCTCAGATTCAACGCTTTGCAACCAATCGTCCACAAATGTGTTTTACGTAATGGCATTGACTGCAGTGGGAAATCTGTGTATGCATCGTTTTGCATTTTTGTCCTTCACATAGTTGGCGAGGAATGGTGAGCAGGATGCCCCAAAGGTCATGACAACCATCGAATATACTTTTGGATCTCGAGTTGTGTCACCGTTTCGCCAAAGGAATTGCTGTGCTATTTGGTCCTCTTTCACCACTCTGATTTGGTGAAACATTTCTCGGATATCACCACACAATGCCACCGGCTTTTCGCGAAAGCGTATGAGGATACCCACCAATGATTTCAAAAGGTCGGGTCGGGTTTTAAAAGAACGTCGTTTAAAGAGGTTCCCTCAACTTTAGCGGCTGCATCCCAAACTAGCCGAACCTTGCCTTTGTTTGCGTTCATGACGGTGAACATCGGTACAAACCACGACTTGCCTCCATTTGAAACCTCACATGGTTTTAACCTTTTTACATAGCCTTTAATTATGTAGTCTTTTATTCGTTCTAAAGGTAATCCTTTAAGGCCGCGTTTTTATTCATTTTCTTCTCCAAACATTCGAGTCGCTTGCGAGCCATAGCATAGGAGTCGGGTAAATCGACATGCTCGTATCGCCACAAGAGGCCCGTTTCCCACCTTTTCTCATGCGCGATATATCTGGTCGTTTTTTCCATTATTTTGAGAGCCCGCTCGTCTTCTGTTGAAACTAAAGGCTTAACATATGGGCTAATTCCAAACGCCTCGAAAGAAAAGTACGAGCGCATCAGAGTGTCCAAATCACTATATTTCGTACAGGGGCAAATGTGCATTAAGCGCGCCTCCGTCAATTGTTCGCGGCCATCTCGACCATAAACCGACCACCCTAGTTTGCAACGCGTAGCAATCAGGCCGTCATCTTTGCTCTCACGAATTTCTAAAGGCAGGCTAAGCTTGGCATGGTCCAAACCAATAAGTATTCCTGCTTTGCACTCTGAGTACGGTAAGATCGGCAGCGACTTCAAGTGTTGCCGCTTCTCAATGACATTCATTTGGAGCGATTGTTGCGGGAGATCCAAATTGGCGAGTGTACGGACCTTATGCAAACTATATTTCACCAAATCGGTTCCCCTGGCCGATATTTCCAGCGAGACTATTTTGGAATTTGGCTCCTGCTGCGTGATATTGCCGGTCCATCTCAAGCAAAGCTCTTCAGTCGGACCTGTGAGCATCAACTTGTGTGCCAAGAACTCATCTAAGAGCGTGCATGATGCCCCTTCGTCGATAAGAGCTATCGTATCCACAGCCCTACCATTGGCATGCAAAGTCACCGGAATATATCTGAAGAGCACCTTCTCGCACTGTTTTTGGTGCAAACATACCGCGTTGGACTCAGGCTTCCCAGTTGTATCTTCAGTATTGCGTAGCTCCTCACTTCGTCTGTGCAGCAGTGGGTTATGAACCAAGCGACAACCATCAATACCACATAATTTGTTCGACTTACATCGACGAACTAAATGGTTCTTGAAGCATCGAATGCACAGTTTCTTATCTTTAACGAATTGCCACCGCGATTGTCTGGCTAAAGCTTTAAATTCGTCGCAATCTGTTAAGCTGTGACAAGCTGCGCACTTAATGAATTTTTGCGATTGCATTGGTGACCGATGTGGTAGAGGCGAGGAGCTCTTGGGTGGTGACGGCTCTCACTTTGGTTGAGCCACATTATGAACCAACAATCAATGAACCAGGGCTTGCATAGTTGCCCTATAATTTTGCACAGCAAGAGCCAGCGTAATTAACGTTTCTAAACGCTCGATTCTAACTGCCGGAACCTCTCTAACCTTGCGCTGAAGGGCTTCGTGAATGATGTCTGGTCGCCCAAAAAGCATACGGAGTGTTTCTATTGCTAAATTTACTGTGGCCGGCATCATCAATTTGCCACGAACTGCCTCGAGTGCAGGACCTTTCAGACACTTCTGCAGTCGAATTAAATTTTCTTGATCCGAAAACCCGCAGCGTTCCGTGGATTGCAAAAAGTTCGTCTAAAAAAGAGGCCATTCTTCAGGGTCTCCGGAAAAGTGAGGTATGTCTTTCGTAATGACTTGTCTTGCCGCTATATGCGAAGGAGAAAGAGTTGAATTCCAAGTGGTACTTACGTTACTGGGCACAGAAGTGTTTTGACCAGAAAGTGGACCTTGGACCCACCCACTACCCTGCGTGGTATATGGAGGGCGAGGTGCCATTGAGGATTTAAAATCTCTTTTGCATTGCCATATAGAGGCGACCAACATATGGTTGGCTGCATGATAACTGTGAGTTATGCAATCTAACAGGATCGAAAATGTGAAAACCCCTGTCGGCGTGACACATGTTGCTAGTGGGTACGTAAGTATAGGTAGAATTCGACACAGGCTGATGCCCGGCAAAATTATTGGATGACTTGTACCACGCTGTAGAATAGAGGTTATTCATCATCGAAGTTATGTTGCTAGCCGAGCTTACAGATGATAAGTTGTGCTCTGTGCATGCCATTAACGGGGCAGAGCGAGCACATGGGACGGCTTCATATCCTAACCGCGAAAATTTACTACGCGTTTTTGGTGACAATATTACCGAGTCTAAAACCGTATGCGATGCTGATAGTTCGGCGACCATATCTGCAGAGGTTGCGCCCGATGCTGATGTAGTGGGTGCTCTAACAAATCCGCTGCCCGATGGAGTAGGAGTTGAGTAAACATCCACGTGCACGGGAGCACCTACATTCGCGGTCGAACCCTCCCCATTTTGGGCCGTTTCCCAAATCTGTGCCGGCGCATCGGTAGTCGTAAATGTTAACTGGGCTAACTGGTCGACTGGTGATGCTGTTACACAAGGTGTGGTCGTAGCGCAAGGGTGTGCTTCGCATACTTGGTTTGGTCTCGAATCTTCCATGTTGTTTATATAAGTATGTAGGTACTTAGATAAGTCCACAAATATTTTAGACTGTTGACAGGCGAGTGAAAAATATAAGACCAGCACTTATTTTGAGCGTCCTTTATTTAATTGTTATGCACGCTAAAATCTGCGAATATACAAAGCAATGTACATACGTACATACAAGTACATAGATATATGCATGTGGAATTACAAAAACAATTCTATTAACTCACTTAACTACTTACATTTGTGCTTGCTCCTGCAAATTAATGTTTTCTCGCCGCCAGCAAAAGGGAAAAGAACTTTACAGAAATAAATGCAATTGGATACAGCGTATTACACGCGAGCCTCTGTTGGCGAGAATTTGCATTACTTTGCAGGCGCAGGGCTGCAAATTTTAGTACATTTCTTTAATCAAACTTGAGCGCGTTAATTACAATGTTCAATTAATTAGGCGCGTTAACAATATGTATAAAATAAAAAAAAAACTTTTAAAAAGTCAGATCAAGCTTAATAACTTTTAGGGCCGTTTCCTCATCTAACCTCTAGATTACCGGCCACTTTATCGTCTCGATATACGAGTTTTCGTTTTCGCATCAGCGCAGTAAGTTCTCGAATAGATACATTGTTGCTCACTCGATGCAACCTCTAAAAATGTGTACCCAACTTTAAATTTTGGTTCGGTTTTGGTTCATGAATCAGATATATTAGATATTTCAACCAAGGTTTTGGCAAATAAAGCCAATTTATCATTCAAAACGCATACACAACCCAAATAGCTTGAAGAAAACGGATATTTCACTTGGTTTGTCAAGCCGCTTGACTCTCTGTGAATGCCGTTCATAGCCTGTCGGTACGGACCATGATGCAATAATACAAGGTGGTATCAGTTGTGACAGCTCGATTGGACACTGCCTTAGCTCAGTAGAATAAGAAGAAAAAGGGGAAGAAATGAATCCCCATTTGGGGGAAAAATATAAAATTTCATATTTTCCTCTAAACAAAATTTGCTTTTTTATAGTAGATTCGTAATGAAATGAAATAAAATAAGATATAATACCTTTTTGAGAAAACAAAATGTGTATACTGAGAAAAAATAAAAAAAATCAACTATATTATTAGGCAAAGAATTGTTAAAGAAGTAACACTGTTTCACCTAAGGCAGTCAATATGGCGGAATTAGAGCGAGAAGTTGCCAACCGATAATACCTTGTATTATTGGCTGCATTTCTTTATACATTCCGGATAATCCCATTTCACAGCCGGAATAAACAGAATGCGTTTGAAATATACGTCAACATATCATCAGGAACGTTCTAAAGAATAAATAAACAAAAAAGTTTATTCCAAACGTTCAGAATGAATAAAGAAATGCAGCCATTGGATAACCTGGCAGTTGTCTCGCTCCCGCATTCTGCCTTAGCCTGTGTTGCCTACTTTTTTGATTTATAGAAACTACTACTAAAATACAAGGAGAAATATTTTCTTCGTATAAAAAGTTCAACAAGCAACACTGCTAATATTTTAATCGATTGTTTCGTAGAAATTCATTTTCTTATTGGGCAAATTCAAGTATGGCAAAAAATCAAAAATATTGGAAATATTTTGAATTACAACAGTAATTTACATATTTATTTGCAGGGTATCGGAGTTATTCATAATTTGTGTTCAAAAAGTTGCGTTTTACAACAAGTGCCGGCTGCACTAAGTAAGTAAGTTTTGCATGCTAGGATCCCTGTGTGTCCGTCCATGTATGGCTGGTGCAGAAGGCACAAATATTAATAAATATATTATCTTGTGAAGGTCAGGATCATTTGGGTGTCCGTCCACGTTTGCTGGTGAATGTATTTTTACCACTGCAGCCTTTGGGTTGGTCAAGTGCAGCATTTGCATATTTACAAGTAAGTATAGCACTCCATAAAAGCGAAAGTGGAAATATTAATAAAGATATTTTCTTGTGCTGATTGTGACTGATTGCAGAAAAAAGTACACGGCATTACAAAAAACTACCATTTTTAAAAAACGAAATGTAATTAAATTGCGATATTGAAGACATATTATTAAAGTTTAACCGATATAATGATTAACAAGACCGATTGGAGAAAAAAGTAAAATACATTCCATCAAAATTAGATTTTTAAATAACCAAATGTACCTAAATTGAGATATTGAAGATATAACTTTTAAATGTAACCAATATAATGACTAGCAAGACTGATTGGAGAAAAAAGTAGAAAACATTACTAAAAAATTTAAATAAAAAAAAACCAAATGTAACTCAATTTAAGATATTTCAATGAAACCATGGTTTATTTTGAATATTTGGGAATACTTCTTCAAAGATTTCAAAGATTTTTCTTTGGCAAGAATTTTATGTGAATATCCATTTATTTCATTTTTAATATTTATCTGGCCATAAAAAGTTAATTCATTATCTATTGTTTAGATCAGTGGAATCTTCTTTATATATTTAATTCAATTTGTATACAAAAACGCATTTCAGCACTACCAGACTACTTACTTTTCCTACTACCTTTTCACAAAAGGAGATAAAATTGTTACCCGCTTCTCTATCCTTCTCAAATTCAACCTTACTAGGCAGTCGATTGATACAAATGTCAATATTTATCCAACCTTGTATTATTGGATCATGCACAAGAATGATAGAATACAAGATTGCGCAGTCCTGGGCGTTGACATTTGTGTACCACAAGTAAACAAAGAATAGAGCGAAAAGAAGAACGAGTTGAAACTGCCAAAGCAGTTCACTTTATAGCGAAAAACGTGTTTTAATTTTGCTAAATGCGAAAATATTGCATTTTTCACCTAATCTATTAGAGAACAGTGAACATTTTAGTGCACTCCATTGCTTTGCAATTGAGGCTGCTTCAGCAAACGTTTTAGTACACTCCATTGCTTTGCAATTAAGGCTGCTGCAGAAAACTGCAGCAGCATCTCTGCGGGATTGATTAGTTAACTTGCTAATGGAGGCTGCGTGGAGCAGAAACAAAATCATTGTGAGGAAATTCTGTTAATATAATAATAGAGAAACATTTCGGGAACGGCTTTGCCGTGCCCTATGTACACAAAATGCAGCGATTCATCCCAGCGCTACACTTGCATCTACGCTTCTTGCATCTTGACGGCTGTCGCAATTTAACACACATCACTTCATTATATTAGTTTTTACGCAGTCTTCAACTCAAAAATCACTCACAAATTGCAAATTAACATAATTTAAACTGATTTTTCACTTATAATTCATATTTCTCTTTCGCTGATTTGTAAACAAAGGTTTATTTACAAGTTACCACAACTGTCAAAATCGGCAAAACCAAAGTAGCGGTACCACTGACGGCGCCACCTTTGTTCGCTGCACCGTGGGATCATGGGTACGGGCGCCTTCTGACCAATGTGACTAGGTTAGCCTCTTTGAGGCTAGATTTAGCATTTAATTTTATGCCATTGCCTCAAAAATTAAGATCTGACTTCGTGGCTTTTTTTTGCCTTTTTTACAATATTCACAATAAAATTCGGACTGAAACTATAAAAATAAAGCTTAATAAGTGCAAAGTACCATTTCTTAGAGAAAATACTTTTTTAAATATTTAAAAAATAATACTAAGAAATTTTCTTTGAACCGCGTTTTTAAAATGTGCTTTGTTGGCGTACTACTTATGTGACAATATTAAAAATTTTAAATTTTTATTATCCTAAACTGCTCACTTTCAAAGCTACGGGGCCCTTATAGTATGCAAACGTTTGGCAGGGAAGACTTGGGGCTGTAGTCCCAAGATCCTGTGATGGATGTATACCACCCATGCCACGCACAGTGGTCCAATCTGCTCTATTAGGGTAATTTAATTATTATATTAAGAACCTAGATAGATATCGGGATGAAATTTTGCACAAATTATGTCTGAGTGACTAACAACTTCTGCTCATAAAATGGGCAAGATTGAATAGCGACCACGCCTACTAGCATATAATTAAAAAATCTTTAAATTTTTCGTCAATTTCTGGTACATTTTTTAAGCACTTGCGTACGGTTATAGATACCTGCATACCTAAAACATTTTTTACTATTTGGGATGAATTAAAAATAGAAAGTCCGTTATGTATATACTGTATTAACGCCGAATCCGAATCAGCCACCTAATATATGTGTTGACAGGCGAGTGAAAAATATAAGAT